AGAGACAGAGGGAGAGGGAGACGCAGAGACAGAGAGGGAGAGGGAGACGCAGAGAGAGAGAGGGAGAGGGAGACAGAGAGGGAGAGGGAGACACAGAGACAGGGAGACGCAGAGAGACAGGGAGTCACAGAGAGAGAGGGGGAGAGGGAGACGCAGAGAGAGAGAGGGAGAGGGAGACGCAGAGAGAGAGAGGGAGAGGGAGAGAGAGAGGGAGACAGAGACAGAGAGGGAGAGGAAGACGCACAGAGAGAGAAGGAGACGCAGAGACAGAGGGGGAGAGGGAGACACAGAGAAAGGGAATAGCAGAGAGAGAGAGAGACGCAAGAGAGAGGGAGACGCAGAGAGAGAGAGGGGGACGCAGAGAGAGAGAGGGGGACGCAGAGAGAGAGAGAGGGGGACGCAGAGAGAGAGGGAGAGGAAGTAGCGGAGAGGGAGACGCAGAGAGAGGAGACCAGAGAGAGAAGGAGACGCAGAGAGAGAGAGGGACGGAGAGAGGGAGACACAGAGAGAGAAGGAGACGGAGAGAGAGAGGAGACGCAGAGAGAGAGAGGGAGACACAGAGGGAGAGGGAGACACGGGGAGAGGGAGACACAGAGGGAGAGGGAGACGGAGACGGAGATGCAGAGACAGAGAGGGAGATGCAGAGACAGAGAGGGAGATGCAGAGAGAGAGGGGGAGAGGGAGACGCAGAGACAGAAAGGGAGAGGGAGATGCAGAGAGAGAGGGGGAGAGGAAGACGCAGAGAGAGGAAGTCAGAGACAGAGGGAGAGAGGGAGAGGGAGACACAGAGAGAGGGAGGGAGAGGTAGAAAGAGACAGAGACGGAGAGGGAGAGGAAGATGCACAGAGAGAGGAGACGCAGAGACAGAGGGGGAGAGGGAGACGCAGAGAGAGGGAATAGCAGAGAGAGAGGGATACGCAGAGAGAGAGGGAGACGCAAGAGAGAGGGAGACGCAAGAGAGAGGGGGAGACGCAGAGAGAGACACAGAGGGAGAGAGGGAGACGCAGAGACAGAGAGGGAGACACAGAGGGAGAGAGAGACACAGAGAGAGAGAGAGGGAGACACAGAGGGAGAGAGGGAGACACAAAACATAGAACATAGAACATTACAGCGCAGTACAGGCCCTTCGGCCCTCGATGTTGCGCCGACCTGTGAAACCAATCTGAAGCCCATCTAACCTACACTATTCCATTATCATCCATATGTTTATCCAATGACCATTTAAATGCCCTTAAAGTGGGCGAGTCTACTATTTTTGCAGGCAGGGCATTCCATGCCCTTACTACTCTCTGAGTAAAGAACCTACCTCTGACATCTGTCCTATATCTATCACCCCTCAATTTAAAGCTATGTCCCCTCGTGCTAGCCATCACCATCCGAGGAAAAAGGCTCCCACTGTCCACCCTATCTAATCCTCTGATCATCTTGTATGTCTCTATCAAGTCACCTCTTAACCTTCTTCTCTCTAACGAAAACAGCCTCAAGACCCTCAGCCTTTCCTCATAAGACCTTCCCTCCATACCAGGCAACATCCTGGTAAATCTCCCCTGCACCCTTTCCAATGCTTTCACATCTTCCCTATAATGCGGTGACCAGAACTGTACGCAATACTCCAAGTGCGGCCGCACCAGAGTTTTGTACAGCTGCAACATGACCTCATGGCTCCGAAACTCAATCCCTCTACCAATAAAACCTAACATACTGTACGCCTTCTTAACAACGCTATCAACCTGGGTGGCAACTTTCAGTGATCTATGCACATGGACACCGAGATCTTTCTGCTCATCCACACTACCAAGAATCTTACCATTAGCCCAGTACTCTGTATTCCTGTTACTCCTTCCAAAGTGAATCACCTCACACTTTTCCGCATTAAACTCCATTTGCCATCTCTCAGCCCAGCTCTGCAGCTTATCTATGTCCCTCTGTAACCTGCAACATCCTTCCGCACTATCCACAACTCCACCGACTTTGGTGTCATCCGCAAATTTACTAACCCATCCTTCTACGCCCTCATCCAGGTCATTTATAAAAATGACAAACAGCAGTGGCCCCAAAACAGATCCTTGAGGTACACCACTAGTAACTGAACTCCAGGATGAACATTTCCCATCAACCACCACCCTCTGTCTTCTTACATATAGCCAATTTCTGATCCAAACCGCTAAATCACCCTCAATCCCATGCCTCCGTATTTTCTGCAATAGCCTACCATGGGGAACCTTATCAAACGCTTTACCGAAATCCAAATACACCACATCAACCGCTTTACCCTCATCCACCTGTTTGGTCACCTTCTCGAAGAACTCAATAAGGTTTGTGAGGCACGACCTACCCTTCACAAAACCGTGTTGACTATCCCTAATCAAATTATTCCTTTCTAGATGATTATAAATCCTATCTCTTATAATCCTTTCCAACACTTTACCCACAACCGAAGTAAGGCTCACTGGTCTATAATTACCAGGGCTGTCTCTACTCCGCTTCTTGAACAAGGGGACAACATTTGCTAGTCGCCAGTCTTCTGGCACTATTCCTGTAGACAATGATGACATAAAGATCAAAGCCAAAGGCTCTGCAATCTCCTCTCTCGCTTCCCAGAGAATCCTAGGATAAATCCCATCCGGCCCAGGGGACTTACCTATTTTCACACCTTCCAGAATTGCTAACACCTCCTCCTTATGAACCTCAATCCCGTCTAGTCTACTAGACTGTATCTCAGTATTCTCCTCGACTACATTGTCTTTATCCTGTGTGAATACTGACGAAAAATACTCATTTAGCACCTCTCCTATCTCTTCGGACTCCACGCACAACTTCCCACTACTGTCCTTGACTGGCCCTAATCTTAGTCTCGTCATTCTTTTATTCCTGACATACCTATAGAAAGCTTTAGGGTTTTCCTTGATCCTACCTGCTAAAGACTTCTCATGTCCCCTCCTGGCTCTTCTTAGCTCTCTCTTTAGGTCCTTCCTGGCTAACTTGTAACTCTCAAGCGCCCTCACTGAGCCTTCACGCCTCATCTCTACATAAGCCTCCTTCTTCCTCTTGACAAGAGATTCAACTTCTTTAGTAAACCACGGTTCCCTCGTTCGACCACTTCCTCCCTGCCTGACAGGTACATACTTCTCAAGGACACGCAGTAGCTGTTCCTTGAACAAGCTCCACATTTCAATTGTGCCCAGCCCCTGCAGTTTCCTTCTCCATCCTATGCATCCTAAATCTTGCCTCATCACCTCATAATTGCCTTTCCCCCAGCTATAACTCTTGCCCTGAGGTATATAGCGATCCCTTTCCATCGCTAAAGTTATACCGATCCCTTTCCATCGCTAAAGTATACCGATCCCTTTCCATCGCTAAAGTACAGAGGGAGAGAGGGAGACACAGAGGGAGAGGGAGACGCAGAGACAGAGAGGGAGAGGGAGTAGCAGAGAGAGAGGGAGACGCAGAGAGAGAGAGGGAGACAGAGAGAGAGAGGGAGACGCAGAGAGAGAGGGAGACGCAGAGAGAGAGGGAGACGCAGAGAGAGAGGAGACGCAGAGAGAAAGAAGGAGACGCAGAGAGAAAGAGAGGGAGACACAGAGGGAGAGGGAGACGCAGAGGGAGAGAGGGAGAGGGAGACGCAGAGACAGAGAGGGAGACGCAGAGACAGAGAGGGAGAGGGAGATGCAGAAAGAGAGAGGGAGATGCAGAGAGAGAGAGAGGGAGACACAGAGAGAGAGGGAGACGCAGAGAGAGAGGAGACGCAGAGAGAGAGGGAGACACAGAGAGACAGGGAGAGGGAGACGCAGAGACAGAGAGGGAGTGGGAGACGCAGAGACAGAGAGGGAGAGGGAGACACAGAGAAACAGAGGGAGAGGGAGACACAGAGAGAGAGGGAGACACAGAGAGAGAGTCAGAGAGAGAGAGGGAGAGGGAGACACAGAGAGAGGAGTCACAGAGAGAGAGGGAGACACAGAGAGAGGAGTCACAAAGAGAGGGAGGGAGAGGGAGACGCAGAGAGAGAGGGAGACGCAGAAAGAGACAGGGAGAGGGAGGCGCAGAGAGGGAGAGGCTCTGAGACAGGCTGGCAGGCAGAGAGAGAGAGAGAGAGAGAAGCAGGCACAGAGAGAGAGAGAGGACAGCAGGCAGAAAGATGGGCCCAGACAGAGAGAGAGAGAGAGAGACACACACAGAGAAAGGGATCACATATTTTCCTACTTCACACTGTAAGCAGAGATCATGGCATTCATTGACACCAACGCTATAGGTAGGAGAAGGGAGGAGGTGTTGCAAGTTAAAGACCAGGAACCAAGAGGGTAGTGATTACTTGCGGTGGTGCCACGTGCCAGAGAGTGTAGGAGTAGGTGGCGTGGCTGGAGGGATGGTGCAGGAAGGAGGGTTTTAGATTTCTGGCACATTGGGATGGCGTGACCTGTACGAAGCAGATGGGACGCTCCGGAATCGGAATGGGAGCAGTATCCTCGTCGGGATACTGCCTGTTGGGGAAGGGGCCGAGGGGCTGGGATCCCGAGAGAAGGTTCGGCAAATGGCCCACAGACAGCGGCCGAGTCAGGCCGGGATTTGTTTTATCGCTGGGGGCCTGACGATCAGGGCAGATGTTCAGACGGTGCTAATTAAACCACAGGAATCCCCATCACGGCTGTTACCCAGACACAGTCGGCAGAGGGGCAGCTTAATATTTCCAGGATGCAGGCGAGGCAGGGGAGGAGGTAAAAGGGAAGAGGGGGATGTCACCAGTCTTGATTAGGGAACTAATCACAGCAGTGAGAGGAATGACATCTTTGGAAGGCTCTTCAAACTGGGCCGTGTGGGTAGAACTTAAAAAAATACAAAAAAGGAGAGTACACGTTGCTGGGAGAATACTGCAGAACCCCAAACCCCCAACCAATCCCAAACAGTCTGAGAGGAATAGCACGGCAGATATGTTGGTAAATTTCACAGAAGGGTGAAAGTTATAGGGTGGTGATTGTAGGCGGGGGGGGGGATTTAAAATCCCCACATTAACCGCACAAAAGGTTTGAGAGAAAGAGAGAGCAGAATTCTCAAAACGCATTCAGGAGGGCTTTGCGCAAAAGGCATAAAGGACAGAGAGCGAGCCGGTCCTAGACTTGATCTTAGGATATGATGCTGAGCCAGTGCTTGGAAATATCAGTGGCTGGGGTAGAGCGTTTTGCAGACAGCGATCATTACTCTGTTAGATCTGGGATCAAAGGTGGCCTGAGGGGTGGGTGGGTGGAGGCCGATTTTCCTAAGATCAGTGTGGGACCAGGAGCGGATACTTTCAGGTAAATCTTGTCTTGGAACAGTGGGGACGCATTCAATATGGATAGCACAGTTTCTCCCAGTAAGCGACAGACACAAAGCTGAGGTCTGGGACGGAGAGACGGGCTGGAGAATAAAGGTCACAGAGGCGCCCGAGTCTTATTATATTCTTCAAATGTTTAATTAACCCAACAGTACTGATACAGTATGAAAGAAGTCTAGAAAACATACAGGCTGCATTCTAAATGCCGGTCTAGTTACGGTCCAGCACAGCCTCCTCATTTAAACCCACGCCCCGCATTCTACAGCTCGGGCCCAATTCTCCTCCGTGTGAAACAGGCCCGGCAAGCTTTTAATGTGTTTTTTTTTAAACCATTTTTCTAAAAAAAAAATTCATATTTTCGACAAAGCTTTCACCTCTTTCAGATCGTACGGTGGGACGACTGGGAAGTTTGGGGAGACGGGATGTGAGATACGGGGGAAGTGGGAAGTGGGGGCAGTGGGAAGTGGGGGGGGGGGAGGGGGATGGGGGTGAAGGAGAAACGAGTGGTCATGTCCGAGGGGACTCTAATGACAGATGGGACGGCGGGTCTTGTGTGACGGGAACAGGTAGCAATCCCACGTCCTTGGCTTGGTGCCCGAGTGCTGGCAAATCCCAGGCACCTCCCTCCCTCCGGTACGGGATCTTCCAGCGTGACACCCTCTCGCATTCCCCCACCCCGCTCCCAAACCCTCGGAGGCAGCCCCTGTTGAATGGGGGGCTCCCTGTCAGCGCACCCTACCTCTCCCCTTCCAAACTGCAAGGGAGGGGGCGGGGTGAGGGGAAACTTGTCTGTCTTAGCCCGTTACCCCAGAACCTCCCATTTCCTAGGGTCCCTCCATCAGCTGGGATTACTCCGCAGAAGGGCCCTAAACCCGACGAAGCGGTTCGGGGAAGGACAGGTGGGGATGGACACATTCCTGGGAACCGTGAGCGCGTCGGGAAACCTTCGAATTCTACAAAAATAAGTAAACCCGCACCCCCCCAACCCACCCACCTCCCCCCCCATACAACCCTGAACATTAAAAGTCGCGCCGCTCAGCCTGAGCGTACGAAGCAGATACGAAGCTCCTTTTTTTTTGTTTAAATGAGGAAAAGAAGCCGCAACGGCTAACAGAAACGTCAAGGGCGGGAATGGTGAGGGAGAGGCTCCCACCACGCACTGGGGCACCCCGGCCATAGAGCAATGCCCGGGTATTATTCCCCGGGCGGCGGCGGAGGAGGAGATGGGAGCGGGTTGTCGGGCCGGTCGACGAGGGGAGCCGCCGCAGAGGAGAAATGAGAGCCTGCCCCCTTTAAGATGCCTCCTTTTAAGTTCAGAATAAAAATCCAGTTTCGAAACGGCCGCCGTTTGGCCCCGACAGAAAGCGGTTTTCAGAAAACAAGAACCGACAAAACAAGAATAAAGGTTTTTCCTTGGGGGTGGGGGAGGGAGAGAAGGGAAAGGGAGGGTGGAGAGGAGAGAGAGAGAAAGATAGAGAGAGAGGTCATTAAGTGGTGCCGGTTGGCTTGCATCTAATGGTCGTCCTGGCTGTTGGTGTCATCTCCGCCGTCATCTTCTCCCTCCTCTTCATCCTTGTGTCCTTTGCTATCACGCAGCTGCCCAACACAGAGGGAGAGAGAGACGTGAAGGGTCAGCACCTGCTGAGGACACTTCCCTGCTGTTTTCAAATCCCTCTGCACTCCAAGCCACCAATCCGCAGCCCCTCAGTAACCTCCACCAAAGTCTCTGCCCTCCTCCAATTCCAGCCTCTTCACCCTTAAATTTTAACCACTCCGTTACTGGTGGCCATGCCTCCGGCAACCCAGGCCCTGAGCTCTGGGAATCCCTCACCGAACCTCTCCTCCTTTCGGGATGCTCTTTGACACCCTGCTTTTGGCTGCCTGCTCTCTTACCCCGGTGTTGGACCTTTCTCTGAGAAAGATACTTGCTGGGCACAGCCTTTCCATACGCCCCTAATTGCCCCTCAAGAAGGTGGGGGTGGGCTGCCTTCTCAGATCACTGTAGTAGGTACACCAGCAGTGCCCCTCTCAGGGAGGGAATTCCAGGATTCCCCAGACACTGAAGGAACGGCCGATATATTTCAAAGTCGGGATGGGGAGTGGCTCGGAGTGGGGGGGACCTCGCAGGGGGCTGGTGTTCCCATGTATCTGCTGCCCCCCACCTTGACCTTCTAGATGGTAGAGGGGCAGTGGGGTTTTGGAAGGTGCTGTCTAAGGAGCCTCGGTGAGTCTCTGCAGGGCGTCTTGTAGATGGTACACACTGCTGCAACAGTGCCTGAGTGGTGGAGGGAGCGGGTGTTTGTGGATGTGGTGCCAATCCAGCTGGGGGGGCGCGGCGCTGCTTCGTCCCTGGGTGCCTGCCCAGCCCTGAGTCTGCCACCCCCAGTAACTCAACAGCAGACATCACTGCGGCAAATCTCTTGCCTGGCTTTATCTCACACCCGATGAATCGAAACGATCATCCCTCTCAGCACCAGTGCAGACCAGGACCACTCAGCAAAAAGCCCCTCCCCGCTCCCGATCACAGAGTGACGACAGAGGCTCATACCTGCTCATCCTCGTCATCCTCCAGGGTGTCCCCTTCCTCGCCGGTCCCCTCGCTCTCGGCTTTCTTCGACTCGCTGCCGGCTTTGCTGCTGCTCCCCTCGTCCGTCTTCTCGCTCTTGTTCTCTGCCCGGGGAGAAAAGGACACACGCTGAGCAAGAGACCCCATCAGCAGGGCTTGCCCACAGTTCCGTGAGCAGTCGAGCAAGTCAGAAACAAGAGTCACTCTCCACTCCTTCCACAAGAGGGATCTGGCAGCGAGGGGGAAAGAGGCAGCCCTGTATGTCGGAGGGATATGGGTGAAGGTGTGGCGATGGGAGTGTTCTTGGCATGTATCATGGATGGATAGGACAATTGCTTTTGTGTGAATAGGCAGGAGGCAAAGGAGAGGGAGGGTTCAGGTAGGAGAGGAGTGAGAGACAGAGAGAGTGAGACAGCATACAAAGAGAGAAGGCAGCAGAGAGGCAAGGGGCAGGGAGAGAGAAAAGAGAGAGAAGAACACACGCACGAGTAGAAGAGAGAACAGGAGAGATGTTGGGAACGTGTACAATTACGAATTCTGAGGACTGGAAGATGAATATGGATCCTTAGATATTTGTAAATGATTCATTGCTCCAATTCCTGGCACTGAAAAGTGAAAAGTTTGAAAGGAGACTACGGTCTATTTGCTGCTTAATAAAAGCAAGTAGTTTTGGAAAACAGTGTCCAGCAAAGATTATATAGACAGAGATAAGGATGGAGCTTTATTGCTTCGAGTGTTGAGCAAACAGACCTATGATGGATCTATGTTGCCATGACCTAGCAACAGCCTCTGGTCTGAGATAATAGATGTACTTTCTGTACACACCGAGAAGCTGTGGCAAGTTGCTGGAGAGTATTGCAAGGATGCAGTATTGTCTCTTGCTCAGCCAGTCAGTAACACTCAGACCTAGGAGCTGAATGTAGCACTCTCTGTACCTCTCTCAGTCAAGAAGTCCGAAAAGACCCAATAAAGTTTCAAACAACAGAACCGCTCACTGTCTGTCAGCTGAGTATGAAGATCAGCCATCATGCTGAGAGTGACAACATTGGGAACTCGTCGACAAGAAACCAAAGGGACTGTGAGAAAGTCACCTCATTGTTCTCATTTTATATGAGCAACAACGGTTTGCAAAGCTTGTCACTTCATTCTATCTTTTTAGCTTGGTCTCCTGACTTACAGGGATTTCCCTGTTCTTTCACATGACTGCTCTGACAGGTCTCGTCCTGTCCGTGTGTGCGCGCGCGTGTGTGTATATTCAGCATCAAGGGGGATACAGTTTAATTCACACTGTAACGTAGATTATAACCAGTTTGCCACTTGTTTGAAGAGAAAGTTTGCTTGTAATAAGTGTGCTCGTTTTGAGTTTGAAAAACCTAAAAAAGTCTATTACTGTTAACTAAGCGTGTAACAAACTGACTATTTTTGGTCTTCGAATAAAACAGCTGCACTTGACTTCCAGCACAACCGAGGTTCAGAATGTAATGGCAGCATCTTTTTATTTTCCGCATTTTAAGATTGCAAACTGAAATGGGGGAAAACCTTTCTGTCGAAGAGTTACTGCACTTCTTAAAAAGCAATTAATCTGACCGTTGCTGCAAGCAACTTGTTCAAACGGTCGTACAAGTGCAGTTTGTAGACGAACTGGAACCAAGGGAGAGTATGAATGGAGCTCTGACCAACATCAAATATCTGACTGGTCTGTGGCCTAGCGACCGGCTATTAATGCCAAAAGTCGTCCTCCTTGCTGACAACATGCAATTGGCTCCCAGGTGGTTGAACATTCTTTGTGTGTGTGTGTGTGTGTGTGTGTGTGTGTGTGTCAATGTTTGGGTAAAAACCATTCAACTGCCAGAAGGGAAAAGTCATCTCAAGTCTGAAGACAGCCAGCTTATTGCTCCCACAGCAGTTGCAGAGAGGTGTGCCTCTTAACAAGTAAGTTAGAGCCTGTGGTTCACATTTACAGTCACCCTCTACTTCCTGAAAACAAGTGAAGGAATCTGAGCATCAGTGCAAAAGGAACATCTCAGCAAACACTGGGAACAGGGATCACTGAACTGCCTTCCCAATCTCTTCCTCCACCAGATAATTTTTTGTTTTGGTGTCTGTATGCGCGTGCATACACACATACACAGGGGAGTTTTAAAATGTGGCTAAGAGTTATAGCCAGGCGAGTTATAGGTCTATGTACTTATAATAAAAATGATTCTTGTTAAGTACAGAAATCTAGTCCATGTTACCTCTCAACCTGGGTCTGAAAAGACAGGAAAATGGGCAACTCTGCTTAGTTTATAAAGTCATTAAGTTTGGTTATATGTCCAGGAATAGCAGGACGTGGTTTCCTGTACGCTTCCTGGGTGTGGTAGAGAGAGAGAGACAGCGCGAGAGACCAATAGAAGAAAGTAAAACCGAGAGAGAAAGTGATTTGTCAGGTATGGGGGAAAGACAGGTTCACTCTGTCCACAACAGGCTAACATACCTGTCTGGTTGCTTTGCTCCTTCTCTATCTTCTCCAGACTGTCCAGAAGTGAATCCACTTTGCTCTTGATCAAAGTCAACTCCTTCTTGATGGTGGCCAGGTCATTGGCTTTCACTGCGTACAAAGTGAGCACAAAGTAACAGGAGCTTCGTAAATGTGGACACAACAAAGCCCCATAGATCCAACAGCACTATGTTCATTCTATTTTAGGTGGGGACAGTGCGGAGGAGGCTTTTTCCATGTCTAAAAACAGTAGAGGAAGCTGAACCCTGTATCGAACCCTGTGCTGTCCCTGTCCCTGGGAGTGTTTAATGCGGGGGGAACAGTGTAGAGGAAGCTTTACTCCGTATCTAACCCCGTGCTGTCCCTGTCCTGAAAGTGTTTGAT